GACTCTGAATTGCTTGACAAACCAGAGTTGTTACATAGAGTTTATATATCAAGCAATTGACTTTGAATTGCAATTATGCATACAAATCTTTGGATCTGAGACATAGTAGTTGTCAGATGGGTAGGTCGTTGATTTTATGACATGTATCATGTCCTAGGGCTAGAGAGATGCTATGTTCAGGTGATCCCCTTATTCGTAGTGCATGTAAATGTGCAACAAAGTAGAATACTCTACGACATGATCAAGGAATCTTCCAAGGTATTAAACATGATAGAGAATATATTTGTGATAGCTTAAGGGTAGTATCATATGTGTATAAAAGAATCAAATTCGGGTTTGACATAGACTATCCATATGCTAACAATGACATTGAGAGTATTGTGTGGAGAGAGATCGTATTACATCATAAGGTGCAATTGAATAGATGCTCCGCATACATTATGTATGGGCTTGGGGACTATGGTATATGGCTAGATATCCACACATAATCAGTGAAGCCTTGAAGAGTCAAATAAGCTCTTCACAATAAGGTGGATTAAAAGATTAGGTTTTAATCTGCCAAAACAATCAAGAGTTTTGCATCGTCTCACGTCCTCGTCGATCAGAATCTAATGATTGCACACCGTACTTTTTGTGTGAGATGACTAACACAGTGTTGGGATGATTAATACTATCAATCATACGGAGCAACAAGGAGTGACAAAATAATTATTAAAAGATGAATTAATTATCATAGCGGTTTCAAGTCTAGATTGGGCTTTGACATGATTTTGGGTTGATCCGAGTCCATTATTAGTTTATCTCAGTTTGATTCCTTATCAACTGCAGTCTTTGACCTCTCATTCTCGTCACAAGTTATACCCAAGGTCTATGGTCCCTTATGAAGTGCTAGAAAGAATTGGCAAGGCGGCCTGTAAATTGAAATTGCAGAAATGGTACCAAAATTCACCCTGTATTTCATGTCAGCCGTATGAAGAAACATATGAAATTTTTTTTAGGAAATTTGTTAGAAGTTCCAGTTGAAATTGAAGGATTGGCAAGGCGGCATATAAATTGAATTTGTTTTTACGAAGTTTGTTAGAAATTCCTGTTGGCAATTAACTTAGTGGTGAGTTGTATAAGAGCACTAGCTCCAAAGAAAATTGTAACGGTCATTTTGATAAAATATTATAATACAAAAATAGTGGAGCTGTAATCCTTCCTTCTTCCTTCCATCTCCATGTCCATTTCTACTATCATCTGCAATTGGTTAAGGTCTACGACCACTGGTAAGCTTATCCTGAAGCTTAGTAAATAGGTCAAGAAGGTTTCGACATGAACAACATTATCCTCAACTCAGTTTGGTGTTGTTTGTGAGTCGTGTTATTGTACTTGTTCAAAACTACGACGCCATTCCTTTGGATCGACTTTGGGCTTTTTATGCGCAACTTAGGTGGAATCGAATATCCTAACTGTGTTTCATAAGGAAGAACTAAGTAGCAGGCCAACATACTACATTGTTTTGATGCAAGGAAAAGGCTTTAAATAGTTGTGTCACTTAGTCTATGTTTGGGTAGGCGATATGCAAATACCAATGAATTTAGACTAAATATAGTTAGAAATGAACTGCATAAGATTAGATGGAGGAGTTTTGAAATGCATTGCAAAGACATAAACAAAGATTTACAAATGACTCATTTCAACCTTGATGCATTATATCCACTTATTTCAAATCCCTCCAAGTTTTTGCACTTCCCTTTTAACTATATTTAGCATAAATCCCTTGATACTTGCAAGTCATCCCTTTTCTTATGTCTGGAGTTTTTCTACGGCAGGTACATTGACCTATTCAATGTGATCGAACACCTACAAGTATCTTGTTAATTAAGTTTTGCAGTCATCTATTACATTGACTTGTTGAATACGAACACTTGACTTATTGAATATGAAGACATAAAAGTATCATCTTCATAGGTTCAATTGAGTGGAATAGCTCCAATTGAAAGGTCTACTACAAAATTGAGTTGCTCTAAGGCCTTTCATAATGGTTCAAGTGAAATTGAATCCTATAACATAATTGCTACATTGTGAGTTTAACAGAGGTGAGTCTCTAGTCATCTAATATTTGTCCTACTATCGGTTATTCACTTTTTTTCCTCCCCAAAAAAGTGGGTAATTTATTGTTGTATAGGAATCAAAATGACATAAGAATTAGAATCACTATGATAGAACTTAAATTTTTTGACCCACTGAAGTCAATCTCAATTTTCCAACCTATTAGGGATGACCTAAATACTCCATTTAATAAGTAATTGGTAAGTGTTCACACTTAATATATTAGTGTACTGTCAGAAAACTGATTATATCTACCATAACTCTCTAAGGATCATAACTCAAATGCATCATCAAATTTTATATTGATCGGTAGTTGTCTAAACGCACTACAAGAAAAAGAGCAAATAATCACGAAGTAAGCGTGGCTGTTGCTAAAGTAGTTATTCCTATAAACGTGACGTCACACTTTTTGACCTTTTAACATGTTTTAGCTAGCTACGCCAACAATAATCAGACTTGCTCTGTGGTTGTTGCCATTTTTTTCTGGCATTGGAGGTAAAGAAAATTCAATAGTCAGCAGCTGATAACTCATTTCAAAAGCCAAATCAAATTTGTCGTTCTAGTTTGTGTGTCGACATCCTATAGCCAATATAGATTGTACCACAATGTATATGTAGTGACTGAGCCTTCCTCCCCTAGTTAAATCACACATTTCCGTTATCGTTCGTGCATGTGACATTGATCATTAAATATCTTTTCAGTTTATTTGTGCGTTCAGTGAAAAGCAGCCATCAGGACTAACAGATTTGTGGATGACTGGAAAGTCATTGGTGATTACCTTTTCGAAAAAGAAAATTGACTGGAGACTAATTAGTAAAAAAACAAACAACTAAGGACCACTAATGAAATGGATATTTTGATTCCACTTTTTAATTAATAGCCTAATTAAACAAAGAACAAAGACCATAAATAAGCTTTTAAGTCGTTGGCCCCTTTATTGTTTTACTCACTCCTACTTTAACAAGCGCATCAAATCTTCTTGGAAATTGAGGTTGTGAAACACTCATTTTTTTCCCTCTAGTTTCAACAACTTAGAGCATCTCTAAAAGAGATATTAAATATAATATGCCAAAATTTTAGTTGATGGTTGATATGACAAATTGAATACAAATGCTAAATTCTCTTCTTTTCAAATGGATGTGTCAAATATTTATTTTATTATTTTATTAGGCCTAGAATTACATTAACTATTAAAAAATATCAAAATTAGTTTTAATTTTTATTCTATTGGTTGTTAATGGGACCCATGCATTAAAAATTAAATTAAATATATTTGACTCATTATTTGTTTGCTGTCAAAAAAGGCAATTAGAAAGCAAGAAGTCAAATGACTCACATGCCACATCATATATGACATATCCATTGGAGAACACTAAATGTCTTTTAATTCTATTTGGCATATTTGACATCTCCTTTGGAGATGGTCTTAAAGTCTATATGTCATTGTTAACAAAAAAAGGTAATGCTAAAGAGACTAAATTTACAGACAAAATTAACAAAATAATGATGTGTCACTAATAGATTTGTGCACATTTATCAATACTTAAGTAATAAACCAATAAGCAACTTTCATGTCATTTAGTTTCCAAACTTTTGTTTACAAATTTAGTCTTTCTAGCATTACCCTAATATAAAAAAAGGTAACTTCATCAGTCATGGATTGAGAAGTTGTGGAAAATGCGTTGACAATGTTATTTACACTCGGACACGGGAGTTTGTAAAGTTATGAGAAAAATACATGAATAGAACTCTCTTTTGGAATATGAAATGGTGAACAAGATACAGGAACTTGCTCCGTTTTCCTAATATCAATTTAAAATGTATAAACCCACTACAAAAAAGAAAGAACAAAAAAAATTACGAGCAAAGACTCGAGAAAATATTCAACCAACTCTTGGTACTTTTTATCTTGATATTCGATCGTTTTATTTCTCTTTTCCTGCATACACATATTACATGATGCTAGACACTTATTTAGAGATTTTTTTTCTCGAGTTGATTTAGATACGCCTAAGTGGAAATAGCATTTCAAAAACTTGGAGGTCGAACAAGAAGAAAATTAGCTAGTAGTTTAATAATAATATTGCTTTGCTACTTGTTATACTTTTGATTCTTATGTTCTGTATGAATCACTGTTTTATCTAGTGTACGTATGCTTGTGCTAACAAAATTTGTGTACTTATTTGACTTCTTGTTCAAGCATTGTCTTGTATGTAATCATATTGTCGACATGAGTATTAGTTAGTGGTGAGTATTTGAAATCGAAATAGCCTTTTGATAAACCTCCATTCATCTTTTTAATACTCTTGTATTGATATTATTGTGTTGATTGTTAGAACTATGTTTTCTTTTTCTTTGGATACAATTGTTAGAAGTTCTAACTTAGAACTATGTTGTTATAAGCTTTTTATTTTATATTTTTACTAGAACAATTTAATTTTGGTTTTACTGTATATCCTTTTTTAACACGTAATATGTAACTGAATTACTGCAAAATGGAATACATACACATACATATTAAATTTACATACATTAGAACAATGAGTTTTTATTTTGGTGTAAAAAAAAAAGTCCAGTTACATCGTTTTCGTCACAATCATTATTGTTACACATAAACTTTGGACAAATAAGAACCTGCTAAGGAGGATTATATATCAACAAAGTCTCTGAAATATAAATATTAATGCAGCTACATCATTTCCGTCATCATCAATTTCTTTATCCACCTTCTTTCTCTTTTTTATATAATGCACAAGGTGGTAGTCTAACTAACTATTGGACACACGAGGACATAGTTTCCACGCCCCGCCCTCCACACCCCCCACACCCCACCCCACCCCCCCCCCCCCCCCCCCCCCCCCCCCCTCCTCCCAATTGAAATTTCTGTTCAGACCAGAATTTGTGAACGGTCAAGTACAAGATAAAAAAAATAACATTTCTCACCGCCAATTAATTCCTCCTAAACTCCAAAGAGAGGAAATAGTAGAACTCAAAATTCTGGTGTTCCCCCATGACCAGTTCTAACGAAAAGATCATACCAAAATTCCATGCCATCATCCAAGTTTAGACCAAAAGTAAAACCCAATTCCTCCGAATCGTTGGCAGTGATCGGAAACTCAGATATTGTTTCATCATTTTCGGCCTTTGGAAATAGTAATGGGGTGCTGGAATTGTTAGCTGAGAGTGCCTCTGACCAGAAGCTGTCATCGATTTCAGGGAAGGTTTCCCACGGCTCCATGTTTTCACCTTTGACGACGATCGTATCCTGATCGCTTCTCAATGCACCTGAGACTTCTGTGACTGAGGAGGAAACATCACTAGAAGATGGCTGTGGATAATTCATATTTTCAGGTTGATCAGTAGACTGGCTTGTGACAATGAAAGTACAATTACTGCTACTTGCTGGCGATGTTATTGTAGTATGGTCTTTGAGTCTTTTTTTCAAGTGGGTGTGCCATACATTTTTTATTTCGTTATCGGTTCGTCCTGGTAATCTTGCTGCAATTGCTGACCACCTGAACACGAAAGAAATGAATTAAATTAAGCATTTGCAAGATAGTTTAACTATTGTTAAGCAAGTATGTATAAAATTAGGAAAATAACTATAATAAACATATTTTGATATTTGGTTTGGAGAAATGATCATTGTTCAGTAACGTAGACATATTAATTATATGTTGATGACACAACGTTAACATAATAACTATACAACAATAATATAATGACAACATAATAAACACTAATTATTCTGTAATGAAATTTCAAAAAAAAAAAATATATATATATATATATATTGTAACTAATTGCCCTAAAATTTTAAGCTTAAATTTGAATTTTGACTGCAACGTTATGAGATGTGCCTGCATAGCAATTAAAGACAAAAAACTACAACACGTATTATTTATCAAATGCATGGTTGGTTGTGATTTACAATTAAATTACAAGTCTATTGTGGTGGCTTCCAATAGAGAATCTTTTGATCAGCTCCCACTTGCTATTCTTTGACAGAAAATCAGTGTCTTTGATTTGTGTGTTCGAGAAACGATCCTGACTCTGGTTATTTTATTTTTTGTTTATAAGGGAGGCTAAGGAGAGAAGGAATTTGTGCTTCCACCTTATACCTTGAGTACATGTGTAAATGCTTTTCTTTGTTGTAACAACAAGCCTTGTTGAGTATGCTGTTGATAGTTGGCAGCAGGGTAAACGGCTATATATATATCTTGGTCAATGGTAAAACATGCATGTTTTGAATTTATAGCTTACAAATTAAAAGTTGAATGAAAATTAGAAGTTGGTGCTTTGATATATGTACCTGTTACCCAGCATATCATGCAACTTAATGATAGCTTCCTCTTCTTCTCTTGTAAAGTTTCCTCTCTTAGTATCCGGCCTCAAATAGTTTATCCACCGGAGTCTGCAACTCTTCCCACATCTCAACAAACCTATTTCAAGAATAAAAAAACAAGTGAAAAAGATGAGTACAAAGCTCAAAGCAAGTAGCAACTGGAATTTAGCAGGTATTAAGAATTTTGCAGTTGTTATTAATTCAACATGAAACATGCATAAATTGTATGTAACTTTTTATACCATCTATATTCTACACTAAATTCATCTATAACTTCAATGAGCGGAATTCAAAGTTGGGTGCAAATAGGAGAACATACTTCTATAGGTAACTTAGCTCAGGTTTGCAAATGGTATGTAAATGTATAAAGTTGTATATAGAACTGTAAATTTGTCATCATGCAATGCAAAGATGATTATCTTGGTTAAAGAACCGAGTTTTGTGGCCTATAAATCTAGCTTGAGAGAAAAAACCCAGATGAGGTAACTTGTAATTACCAGCTTGCTTTGGAAGGGCACGCCAATTTCCATGACCATATTTTTGGATAAAGGATGTAAGAATTTGATCTTCTTCAGAAGTCCATGGCCCCTTCTTCAGTCCCATCTTCTCACAGCAAGGAGCTCTCCCCATCTCTCTCTCTCTCGCTCTCTCTCTCTCTCTCTCTCTCTCACTCAGAATAATACAGTATTACTTTGAATTTGAGAGCTCAATATTTCTGAGGCATTGGCCTGGCTATTTATCTTAAGATCCAGTGTACAAAAAAAGGATATTTGAAAGGACCAATAAAATAAATTAAAAAGACTGGAAAGTTCCACGAAGTGAGATGTATTATAGTGTAGGAAACACAGCCGGTTAGACTAAGTATCATAATACAATTAGTTGAATTTTTTATTTTTAATTTCTAACCAATTATAATATTAAACTTGATGTACAAGGTGATATTCCTAGCACATTAAAAAAAATTCTCCCAGGCAGAGCTAAAAATCTATCAATCAAAATAGGGTAGTGTCATCTCCATACACATTTTTAATTCTCAATTTTCCGTCATCGAATTAAATGAATTGAAAAAAGCCAATGAGAATAAATTAACAAAATTTTGAAACGTAAAACGAATGTGTGAATAACATTATTCTTAAAATAATAACTTAATTACTAGTTTAGCAATTTGTTGTTATGATTACGATTTAGAGTTGCAGATCAATAGGTTTTGGCTTTTAGTGACTAATAAAATAAAGAAATGCTAGACAAATTAAATATGTTGACTAAATTTGCAAACCAAATGATGTGCCACTAATAAAAAAATAAACATGTTATTCAACACTTAGATTATAATCCATCATCAATTTTCATATAATTTAATTTACAAAATTTTATCTACAAATTTAATTTTCCTAACATTACCAATAAAATGCGACAGAGGACGTGTAGCAGACAAAAAATGTTGGCAATGATCTCATAAAATAATGAGTAAACAAGGGAAACTAGTAGTGTGACGTTAGATAGTTGAAGCAGCCAAAGTAATTTGGCATAGACAGCAACCTTTTCTCGTAGATTTGCTCAACAGTAAAATGGAGAAATATTCCTTGAACTATGATTTAATTATAACTTTAGTCATGGACTACAAATTTATTAAATGTTGTTCTCAAAATTCGTCAAATTGTGTAACGTTAGTCCCTTTGTGCTAACTCAGTCAGATATTTCTTTTGTCTGCTGATATGGTGAATCTGGCCTCCTGATTTTGTAGACAGTGTAGGCTCTAACTACCACTTCTCCACCTCGACAGCCGCCGCCAACCCAACCACCATGTTCACATCCAAGTTTCCACCCCAACTAATCATAACCACCACCTCTCGCTCTCGCTCTCTCACCTCTCCTAATCCAACATCCCATCACCAAATGCCCAATCCGTTTCCCTCCTTTCCTCTCATTAGGGAGAGATTTTTTAGTGTGATCGGAACACGGGATGGTACATCACGTGTCACTATACAAATGGTGAGTTATGTGTGTTAAAAAGTTAATAACTTGAAAAAAAAAAATTTTCACCACTTATATAAAAACATGTGGTGTACCACCCGTATTCCAATCATAATAAAAAAATTTCTCCCTATCAGGGTCGTCTCTTGACATTTGGAGGGTCCTCTGCGTATTTCATATAAAAGATCATTCTTACTTACAACAATAATAACTTTTCAGACAATATATTTATACATAATTCAACAATCAATCTTCAAACGTAATTGAAACCAGCATCTCACTTTTACAAATTGAATAATCTCCAATTGTCATGAAATTACGATTTAGGGTTCGTCCATGAAAAAATAGAGTATGGTTGAAAGAGAGATACGAAATACGCTTGTGTTTGTGAAAGAAAATAATACACAAGTTTTTATTGCTGGAGAAAAAGTGAAAAATAAATATATTATGTATAGATTCCAATTAATCAATTGTAATACAGATAAAATTATATATGACGGTGATTTCTCTTTTCAATAAAATTCATTTTTAGAAGAAAATTTATACTCATATGAAATATATAGGAGGATCAAATTTTCAGGGCGCCTAAAAAATTTTGGACTCTGTGCCACTACGCCTTTTGCACGTCCTCAATCCTATGCCCCTTTTACCAAAAGGTTCCAAGTTTCCATCATAAAAGCATAATCAGAAGGGCATAATCTACCGTTTATCCGAAATCTCCTTCACCCTCTCCATGTCACTTACATTTTGGAGCTTTATGGCCCTAAATTGTTTGACTTAGATCATCGGCCTCCGTTTTGGGTCGGTTGTAGGTTTTCAAAGAGGAAAAATGAGAGGGGTGAGGGTTCGAGTGAAGGGAAGGGGCGTGGAGAGGGGAGGAGGGTAACGGGGTGTAGCTCGGCTTTTGGGAGGTTGGATTTAGGGGACGAGATAAATAGAGGGAGGTGGTGGTCGGCTATGAGGCTTGTGGTCACTACTAGGGAAAATTGCTTTGGCGTTGGTAACTCTGTCGCAACAGGGTAATATTAAGGAGATCAAAATTTTAAATCAAATTTGCAAATCAAATGATGTGTTATCAGTAGGAAATAAGTCTGCTAATCAATGTTTAAGTAATAGTCCAATCACCAACAGTCATATTATTTTGTTTATAAATTTGATCTTTCTAACATTATCCATCGCAAAATAATGAATATATGTCATCAATGTCGTCGCAAAAGCATTATGCGGCGGCAGGGCGACATGCAGTGAGTCGTCGAAATACTGGGCGACGCCAACGCCATCGCAAAAATATGGTCATCGCAATTTATGTTCAACTTTCTGTTAAGTTTATGGCCATGGAGTTATGACGTCGCAGATGAGTTTTTATTAAAAAGAATAATTGCTAAATATATTTCTTCCGCTTAAAATTAACATCAATTGCATTTAGGGTTATTTTGTGTAAAATCATAAAAAAAAGGTTTACAATATTAACAATATTTATGTTAATTATAAATAGGACTATCATGTATTGTTATACTTAAATGCATTTAAAATAAACAAAAATTATCAATTCCATCACTACAGTTGGCACCCACTTCCACTAACACTCTATTTCTCATAGTTTTTGTATTTTGGAATACGTCAATATGGATCAAATGTTGCAGTGTCTATTTCCTGATTCTATTTTTACATTTAGATTCAGACACAGCGTTGCAATGTCCATTTACTGGTTTTGTTTTTTCCATTATTCACACGCCTCCTACATGTTCCTTTTCACATTTGGATTCAAACCCTGCCGTTTCCTAGTTTTGTTTTTTATTTTTGGATTCAAATGTTGCATTGCAGTGTCCATTTCCTGGTTCAGTTTTTTCCATCACTCCACATGTCTACTATGTTTCAAACACTGTAATGGAGTGTCAGTTTCCAAGCTTTGGTTTTTACATTTGGATTCAGACACTACAATACAGTGTTTGTTTCCTAGTTTCGTTCTTTTTAGTTGAGCAGACTCCTCCGTGTAATCAAATGGCGAGAGAGAGAGAGAGAGAGAGAGAGAGAGAGAGAGGGAGTGAGTGAGTGAGTGATAGAATATGCATGTTCAAAATATTTATAGAATTCAAATCCTCTCCGATCAGTTTAATGGGGATTGAAATCCAACGGGCAAAACCTCTTCCCCTTCATCTCTTCCCCCTCATCTCTTCTTTCTTCCTTGCCCTGACACACCCCACTGCGGTTAACAAGACCTAAATTCAATTGCAAGTCATTTGTGCTATCTTTTACTTTTAGCTTTTTATTTGTCGTCTCTTTCTTCTTCCACATATTTGAGCTTTCTCTGTCTACTGTAACTTTGTTTCTCTCTTTGTAATTGTTCTATAGTTATGAAAAAGATCTCTGCAACCAAAAGACACCAATTTGCACGACCTCTCTCTTTGTTCCTTTGTTAACATCGGCTGAGATTTTAGGGTTGAAAGACCTGCAACTGAGAGATGTGGTGGTGCTGGGGCTGATTTTGGGAGGGTAAGGTGAGGGACCTGCAATTGAGGGTTGTGGGCTAGGTCGATTGTGGTGGTGTTAGGGCTGATTTTGAGGTGGGGATGAATTTGATCTGGAATTTGGGGCTTTGGTGGTTTAAGGTTGAGAGCTTCAAAGTGAGGGAGAAAGAGAAGAGTTGAGGGGAAGAGAGGGAAGGAGTAGAGATTTTGGCCGTTGGATTTGTATCAATGGATGATATCCATCGGATCCTCCGCACCTCACAAAACTGATTAGGATAGGATCTAAATCCCTACTTATACTACCTTAATGCCTATATGACGTTCATAGAGAGGGAAAGAGAGAGAAGGATAAAAGAGTCAAATTCTAACTATTTATAATAACTTAAAGCATGTGTGGCATTCATCATTGACCTTGCCTAATTAATAACAATATATCATTGATTAAGTCCAAAACAAAAATATGTCATTGATATATGGCTTAATAGTAAAAATTTTATTGATTTTTGGTTGAATTATCTTTGTGTGTGTGTGTGCGCGCGTGTGTGTGTATGTGTAGGGAACATTTTGTTATATTTATTTCATAAAAAAAAAAAAAAAAAAAGTTATAGATATCATTATTATCGGTAAATAGTTGGTAGATATCATGCTCATTGATTGATTTGTTTGAATGTTTTGAAGATGTAAATCACATGATTCAATACATTCGAAAAAAGAAAAACGTATACTAATTCAGGAATTCTCAATTTAATTTCATATTTACTATCATGGGCAAAATAGTCATAAAATTTAAAAATAAATGCAAAAAATAGGTTTGATTTAAAGCCACATAAATGTTCGGTTAAACTAAATCAAAAGACTTCATTTTTTTGTGGGACAATTTTTAGAATTTCATATGAACTTGCACACATTTTTAATTTATCATATGAAATTTTTAGGCGATTTGTCATATTAATTTTTCGAAATTATTAATTTGGCATCTTACCCTAACTCTACTAAGTTTTTCATCCAAAATAAATTTGTGTTCAGGGCTTTTGACCTCCTTTTTTCACAATTTATATATTAATTATTTTTATACAAAAAATATATGTACACTAGAGGTGGGGAAATAAATTGGCTTTAAACTTTTGACGTCATTTTCACAAGTTTTCTACCTCTCTTTAGTACGAACCTAGAAAGTTTGGCTAGTAAAAGTGTGACAGCCCGTTTCGGATTTTCGAACTGTAGGGGTGAAATGACGTTTTTGCCCTAGTGTGATTTTTTTTCGTTGTGTG